TATGGCTAGAGTCTTTCATTTCTTGACATAACCTGAAATAACCTCAATTTTTTCTATCGATATTTCAGTTGCTTTCCCATTAGAAATCGATAATACTGAGCTAGAGTTAGCTACGCGTCGATTTTGGAAATTGTGCAACGATTTTGAACATTCGGGCGTATGCGTATTGTCGGTTTTTTCTAGCAGAACAGTTTAAAAAGATTAAGGTGTTCTCAACTCTTTATTAAAAATATAAGTTTTTTAAAAATCTATATTTTTAATTGTCACAGACAATTTCTTTTATCAGATTAATTACCGTGCACTATTGCCCCTTACCACGTGACAGGACTACATAACCTCAAATCTTAAATCGTCTCTGTCGTATTTTTAAAGAGGAGAAACGTAAATATGAAATTTTGTTAAAGCAGTCAATTCTAATGTGAACTTTTAAGTGACTTATTGTTATATTAAATTGTAAATGTAGTGACTCAAGTACAGAATTCAAGGAGGGAGCACAGTAACTGATTTTTGTAGATCATAGGCACACAGTATCTGGCTCCAGAACTGTTTCGTTCATTCTCCTAATATTCAACAGAGATTTGATACTTCTAACACTTATGAAATGTCATTTAAATAAAGTTGTGTTTAGCAGCGGAAACTCTGGAAGACTGCTAACAGGGCACAGTAATTGAGTTCCTCCACCTTAGCGGGCTCTATCTTAGATGCAGGTATCTGGTAACAATGGGAAAGCTAGCCATCTGTTGGCGAGCGTCGAAGGTATAACCGCCACAGCATATCAGGAGAAGTTAGGTGCACTGTTATCTTGAAGTTTACTTATTTTAACTAAAACAACTGGACGCGCGCGCGCGCGTTACATGAACTTGAGAACATCAATACACCAGCTGATTAAAATTAGTAATAGACAAAATATTATAACTTGATTGCTTTTTATTGCAACTGATGCAAACAAATTTTCATTTTTGCTAAAGATCCACAGTCTGGTAATTGCTAAGAGAAAAAGATTTTTGTTGAACACTTGTTCCTCGCAATTTATGGGAAAAAATATTTCATTCTGCACAAAAATTAGCTTTTCGTTTTCCATTTTTACAAAAATGGAAGAGGAGAATCCTGCTACTTCCAAATGAAAGAGGACTGTTCTGCAAAATACGGGGTACAGCATTAATGACTTCATATGCCATCATGCCGACAGTTTAGAGGTTAAGAAGGGAGGGAGAAAGAGAGAGCGAGAGCGACAGGGAGAAAGAGAGAGAACGAGAGAAAGAGCGAGAGAAAATAAGAAAGAGAGATGGAGAACGAGAGAGAGTAAGAAAGCGAGAGAGAGCGGGAGTGAGAGAGAGAGAACAAGAGAGAGCGAGAGAGAATAAGAAAGCGAAAGAGAGAACAAGAGAGAGTAAGAAAGCGAGAGAGAGCGGGAGAGAAAGCGCGAGAAGGGGAGAGAGAGCGAGAGAGAAAGTGCAAGAAGGAGAAGGATGGAGGGAGAGAGCGCGAAAGGGAGCAGGAGAGAGAGCGAGAGAGAGCACGAATGAGCTAGATGGCGTGAGTGCGAGAGAGAGAGCTAAAGAGACAGAGCGAGAGAGAAGGAGAGAGAGAGAGAGAGAGAGAGCCAGAGATAAAATATACGCGAGACGGAAAGAGTGCGAGAGGGTGAGAGAGCGCGAGAGAGAGTGTGAGAGTGAGAGAGAAAACGCGAGGGAGAGTGTGAGAGGGAGAGAGAAAGCGTGAAGGAGAGGGAGAGAGAGAGAGAGAGCGAAAATGTACTAAAGGGCGAGAGTGCGAGAGAGAGAGAGAGAGAGAGAGAGAGCGAGACGATGACTTCCGGTGCGGGATTCGCGGTGATCAGGATGCATTAATATTTATGCGGTGAAATCAAATTGCTAAGCCGCGAGGTCCCGACCCAGGAGCCAGGCGGAAACGTAAGCAGAGGAATCGAGTCGCCTAAAACGCAAGACAAACACGGTAGGGTGTGTGTCACGGGGCCCCGCAGATTTCCCGGGCAGGTATTCCGGATCCACCGAGCCGCGCGCGCGGCGTCATCTAAAGCGCAAACCGTTCCGCTCTATTCCAAAATTTACATCGTTCGCCATATTCGCCGGCTTCCTGCGAGTATCGTCGGATTCCGTCGGGCGGCCGGATTAAGATTCGGCTTTGTATCAGCCGCCACCGGCGGCGCAAAGTACCCATGTTTGCCTATCCGTGAAATAACACTACTTTCCCGGCGACACCGATACCAGCTTAGCCATCGTTCCACTCGCATATTCCGCGTACAATTAAATAATTATTTATTTACCTGGCCGCAATCTTGTGCAAATTATGATCGACGTATTTTGCTTGGGCTTCTGCTAACCGCTGTTTTTGGAAACGTACTTCAACCTGATGCGCATGTTGGATGAAGCATTAATAATTTTCTCACCGAGACGACGTAGTTCGGCCGATGCGAAGACGTAGTCGATGTAACGACACGTTCGACAATGTTTAGTTAGTTGACCTTCGAGTGACCTTCGAAGGAACTAGCCTTTAAAATAGAATAACTGAGTATAAATTGATATGAATACTGTCTCGTTGTTCACCTAAGTAGAATCGTCCCAATATCTTTTTAGAGAGAAGTGTCGAAGTGAAATTTATAACAATGTATCAACAATTAGTGACAAAATGTTATTTTTAACAATACGAGAAAGATTGTCCAACCAGGATGATATATTTTCGTCAATACTACGTTCTATTCGATTAAAAGACAAGTTCTACAACTTAAAGTAAGTTGACCTTCAAATGACCTTCAGAGGAACTAGTCTTCCAAAAGAAAACAAATGAATCCGTATTTAAACACAGATTCGTGTTTATGTATCGATGTAAACACAGATTCGTCGTTCACATGGTCAGAATCCACTGGAATTCCTTTTATAATGAACATCAAAATCGAAACTGTATAACAACGTAACAACAATTGCTGTAAATATATTGTTATAAATTTAACGGCCTTTTTCCGTTGTTCCGAGTGTCAACCGCAATCAAATTTATTTAACCGAGAATAAAAATTGAGCAATTAAAGGACTTCGGGTCACAATCGACCCGGCCACCGCATGGCGCGGGTGAACTCGGAGAAGCCACGAAACGTACGAGAAACAAGCGTCGCGGACAAGAGCAAGGGAGAGAAATCGGCGAGACCGCGGAACAAGTTGCCGGCCGGTTCGCGACAATCGTATTAAGGGATCACGGTGTCGTTAATAACAGTTAATAATTACGGCGCCGATGCGGATCGTGTGTCCGTTTCCAGCGAAGTAGAAAACGTTCGGTGAACGAGAGAGAGAGGGGCGGGGGCCCCGTGTTAATTAAGATAAATTACGTAGCCGGCGCGGCGTCTCGCGGCGAACGGGGCCGGGCAATATCCCATTTTCTAATTTATTTCCTTATCTCATTTAGCGCAAAACCGAGGCCTACACGCTCAATTATTCCACGGGGAATAACTGCGTAAACTGGTTTGCGGAGTTCAGGGCACGTAGGAGAGGAGGCGGCCCGTGCAAACCAGTTTGTGCAGTTCGGTACGCACGGGCAAACGCGGCGTATTTAGACGGTCCTACATGCTCGGCCTAATCCGTGCAAACCAGTTTAACGCTGCCTGATTATGTTTCGGCGCGGCGACTCCGTGATTCTTAATGGGCCATAAATTCGCGCTGGAAAAATGGGATAGTCGTTATCGGGAAAACAGCGCGCCTCGGACCTGTACGATGTTGCCTGCACTGTCCGTAGAGAACAGCAGCTTTAACAGTTTGCTAGCCAGTAAAAAAAAAGATTACAATATCGTAGATTACAATATTCGTAAAGAAACAAAATATTATATAAAGACAAAACAAAACTGTATAGTAAAATGATAGAACATAACCTAGAATGTCACGGTACTGATAACACTGCTTAGTGATCTTAGAAAAGAACAATTTTAAAAGTCTAGCAGCCAATAGAAAAAAGATCACGATGTCATGTGCTTGGTGTATTTGTTTAATATGCATTTGTTCATAAATAAAACAGAACATTTTGTCCAGTAGAAAAATTAAAAAGAAAACAAACCTGTGAAAATGATAGAATATAACCTAAAAAATGTCACGGTACTGGCAACACTGCTTAGCCATCTTAGAAAAGAACAATTTTAAAAGTCTAGCAGCCAATAGAAAAAAAGATCACGATGTCATGTGCTTCGTGTATTTGTTTAATATGCATTTATTCATAAATAAAACAGAACATTTTGTCCAGTAGAAAATTTAAGAAGAAAACAAACCTATGAAAATGATAGAACATAACCTAATAATACTACGGTGTTGACAACACTGCTTGGTTACCTTCAATATTTAGGTGCGCCCAAAATGACAGAGCCATGCCTTAGAAAATAGCAAGTTTAAAATTTTGATAGCAAATAGGAAAGAGATTACAATATTATATGTGTTTACGTGTATTTATTCAGAAATGAAATAAAAGATTTTGTCCAATAGAAAATTTAAAAACAAAACGAAGCTGATAGAACGTAACCTAGTAATGCTACAGTATTGACAACACTGAATGACAATCCCTATTATTAAGGTGTATTCTAAAATGATAGAATCACCATAGAATATGACAGTTCAAAATGATTGGCAGCCATTAGAAAAATATTACAATTTCACATCATTTGTATCTTTGTTTAATGTGTATTTCTTCGTAAATAAAACAAAATATTTTTCTCCAGTCTGAAACTTAAGAACAAAAATAAACTGTATCTTAAAGTGATGAGACATAACCTAATAATTCCATCAGTTACATGGAACAGAAACTACACATAATCGTTTTAGTACATGAAAAATAATGCATCGACATTTTAAAATTCTTTGAATCTTTTTTGCCATTTTAAATCGCAACTACCCAGTTTTTTCAATAAATCCATAAAATTCGTCATCTTCTTAGCACGCATCTTAATCGTAAAAGTGCCAAGCAGTGTTGTCAACACCGTGGTATTATTAGGTTATTTTCTACGATCTCGGGACACGTCACAATTATCTCGCTATTTTCTTTCTATCATCTTAGGACACACGTCGCTACAAATAATTAAATTGTACGTATAACCAATAAATTAAACACGCTCGTTAGTACAGGAAACTTGACAACACTGTCGACGTTCCTTACGGCAACTTTGTAGCTGAAACGCAACGTCTCCCACGATATCATTTCGTCGCGATGAAAATTCGAAAATGAATTTTATTTTTATGCACTCGATTGCTTCCCGTGGATCCGCGTTCACAGAAATTTTATTTTGAACAGGGGTCACGGAAACTGCGCCGCCGTCTGCTTCCCTGGTTAATATGCTGGCAATGTCTCGATCGTAAACTTGGATTCTGTTCAATGAGGGCTGCAATTTCGATTGATCATCCCCGATCTTTGGCTCCGAACAGTTTCCAAGCATTTCTGATTGATACACTCAACGTTGCATTCGATTATCCGTGCCAGAATACCAGACGTTCGAACGAATAATGAACTAACCCTGCGAGGGAAACGAAAAACTTTCGACCGACGTAGTTATAGAGGGTATTTTATTAACTGGATATTTTATATACGTACGACCGGAGAAGTGTTCATGAAACCAAGTACATAAAATGTAACAGGAATAACTTTGTAATTTCAGATAATATCAAACTAATTCAGGCTTAACCTATAATTACTATCCAATCCAGACACACCGTGACATAACGTATACTTGTAACCTAAACCAGCCATGAGGTACAATTTAACCTATACTTATAACCCAATCCAGACTTAACGTATAATCTAATTCCGGAATTAACTATAATCCAATTAAGATACACCGTGACCTATATATAACCTATTCTTATAACCTAATTGATATCCAATTGAGATTTAACTTGTACTTGTAATTTAATCTAGACATAACGTATAACTTAACTTATACTTATAACATAATCCAGACTTAACGTTTAACTTAAGCTATATTTATAACCTAGTCTAGATTTAACATATAACTTAACCTTTGCTTATAACCTATCTCAAACTTATAGCGTATAACTTAATAGACATACAAGTTATAATTCAGACTTAAAGTGTAATCTAATTCAAACCTAAGCTATATTTATAACCTAATCCAGACCTAACCTATACTAATAATCTAATCCACGCCGAACCCTAATCTAATTCAAATCAAAACTTGTTTTAATTAGCTAAATAAGAAACTGTGTAGATCGCTTCTAATTCAAAAGGGAATAAAACATACTATGGAAAATACACTGTTGCCAATGCCTCAGAAACTAAAACCGATTGGTGGAAACATATTTAGAGGAAAGTTCTTCATAGTTATAACATTGGCAATTCAAGAACATCAGAATCCTTAAAATCGTAAATGTTTAAATAAAAAACGTGCAATCAACGTACGACTGAAGCAACTGTTTACTCAATCGGATATTCCAAGCATTCAGTTTTTGATTGCAGAATGACCGATCAGCGTGTCCCGTATGAAAGCATACTCCATATCGCCGGCGGAGTATACATAAATCAACGATAAATTTCGCGGCCATTATGCGGGGCAAAGGGCTCATTCTTGCAGTTCCAGCTCGAACTTTTCTATTGGGCTTCTTATGTCTGATTCATGAAGTTCGTCGCTACCAGCCACGAGAATCTATTACGTTGGCCGGTGAAACGGCCGCCTTAACGGGATTCGAGGGATCGTCTAGCAGTTCGTGTTGGTCGTTACGCTACGGCCATTTCGATCGCTTTTCGGTCACCGTGGTCCTTGGCCGACGCAAGCTGGCATCAATCGGTCCAGGCGAGCAATCGAATGTCGACGAATTAGCGATTAGAGGCAGCTTCGCCGGCCAAATGAATCTCGAGCCAAGAAACTCGCTTTGATCTTTCGCCGATTCTGGCTTTCCCGGTTTTCCTTCGTTCTATCGCTTGCTTCGTCGTTTCTGGATCAATAAGTATAATTAGACTATCCATTTATTATTATTTTTACTCAAAATTGGACAATATTTTTACTTGAATTAGTATATATAAATGTTTTTTTTTTTTACTCAAAGATTATATGTAAATTTTATTTTCACTAAAAACTGTAAATTATTTTTACTCAAAATAGCATACGATTTTTGTTCATCCTCAAAAATTGTATGTACAATTGATCTTGACTAAAAATTATATATAATTTTTATTCGAAATTGAATATAAACTTTAGTTTTATTGAAAACCGTATATTATTTACACTTATAAAATTCTACATAAATTTTAATTTGACTCAATATCTTATACAGGGTGTCCCACAATTATTTTAACAGCCGAAAATGAGGGATAGCTGAGGTCATTTGAAGTAAATTTTTCCTTTGCGAAAATGGAATCTGCGGCTTTGTTTACGAGTTATTAACGGAAAACACTGACCAATGAGAGGTGACGGCGCGACGTTCGAGAACCCGCAGCACGAGGCTTTGACAGATGGTCGGGACGGACTCGAGCCGCGTTCGAAGTATTGAACAAATCACGAAGCGAGAACCCTCCGGATTTTTTTTTACTACGTAACAGTGATATTTTTAAGAAACACGCTGTTAACCTTTACTTTAGAACGTCTGAAGAATATTTACTAATTTTTCGGACCCGAAATAGTAAGTAATTTAAGCGTGACGGCCGTTTTAATTTTCTAGTGTGCATGACACATTGTGTGTAACATATGAAATTTTTAAGCAAGGTGTATAGTGAAGATTAACAAAGTACGTAAATGATATTTTAATTTAAATAATTCCGTGTCCGAACACAGTTCAACGAATGATTCGCAAAGCTAATTTAATAAATAATTATCGTGTTAAAGGACGTAAGGGACCTTGATTGACCTTGACGTAACCGTGACATAACCTTGATATGACCTTGACATAACCTTGACAAGACCTTGACAT